GCAGTGAGGGCCCATGGAGGTGGGGGTTTTGATATTCAGTCCTGCTGCTTCACTCACTGTAAGCTACATCTAGCTCCCAGTCAGACCAGGCAGAGGAACATAAAGATCCTCCCTCATAGTCCTCATATGGCCACTCTACAGCGAGGGACAGTACAGGGCACAGATACACTATGTAAAAATAGGTGAATCTTCCAGTGTATGTATTTTGAAAGAGAAAGAATAAACAGGGACAAATAATGGTCCAGCGAAAGAAACAATAGTGAAATCTTAATAACACTTTTTAGAGCTAAATAAGCTCTATTTAGTAGACAGCCTCCATGCCCTCCCTCATTTGTATCCTACTGAGCCTGTCTACTTACTTTGACTTATAGTGTAGTAAACATTAACTACAGCCATAACAGATTACCAGACCTAATACCTAATGGAGGAAAAATAACTACAAATTAATGACCAACAAGATTTATAACCATTACTTGTACAAAAGAATGAAAATTAAGACAGCAAACCACATGTTATGCTTAAAGGACCACTCTAGGCACCCAGACCACTTCAGCTTAATTAAGTGGTCTGGGTGCCAGGTCCTTCTAGGGTTAACCCATTTTTTTTTATAAACATAGCAGTTTCATAGAAACTGCTATGTTTATGAATGGGTTAAGCCTTCCCCCTAATCCTCTAGTGGCTGTCTCACTGACAGCCACTAGAGGCGCTTGCGTGCTTCTCACTGTGATTTTCACAGTGAGAGCATGCAAGCGTCCATAGGAAAGCATTGTAAATTGTTTTCTATGCGATGCGCTGAATGCGCGCGCAGCTCTTGCCGCGCGTGCGCATACAGCCCAGGAGGAGGATCGGAGGAGGAGAGGAGGCAGAGAGCTCCCCGCCCAGCGCTGGAAAAAGGTAAGTTTTTACCCCTTTCTCCCTTCCAGAGCCGGGCGGGAGGGGGACCCTGAGGGTGGGGGCACCCTCAGGGCACTATAGTGCCAGGAAAACGAGTATGTTTTCCTGGCACTATAGTGGTCCTTTAAGTAATTAAAATAATTATTACTACAGGGATAAAATAAACACTACAGGGATAAATTGAAATCTGTCAATAATGTATACAGTCTGAAAGCGAATAATTATTGTAGATTGAGCAGATTCACACAGTGCAGTTAATGAATCATCTAATGAATGCATCACTGCCAATGTAGGGGAATAGGTAAACATTCAGCTATTTTTTTTTTTTTATCTAACTAATTCTCACAAATAATCAATATCAGTTGAGCACATACTTATCATGTGCTACACTGATATACCAGATCCCACAGTACAAGGAAGGGTGGTGCTTTCCAAATGTCAACTATCACACTGACTGGTTACACTGAATCAAAGCTTACCATTGCCCTGGGATCCTGTCCAAAAGTAGGGAACATGATTGAAAAGATGTTGATGCATGGACCCCTTGTTATGGTCTACTAAGCTTTTCATTAGCCTTTTGCAGGGTGAAAACTTTTGTTCATGCATTAGCATATACTAAACAATATAATATAATAGGCATAACAAACATGGTGGGTTGAGACACATGACTGGGCAGCTAACTTAAATGGGTACATGTTATTTAGGAAGGATAGGAAAAACAAGAAGGGTGGTGGGGTATGTTTGTATGTCAAACATGATTTAAAGCCAAATTTTAAGCAAATGGAATACGAGGAGGATAATGTGGAGGCTTTATGGGTAAATATCTGCTTGGGGGAAAAGAAGGGAAACCAACTATTGGTTGGGATATGTTATAAACCACCTAATGTTAATATTGACGAGGAACAACAGCTGTTTGAGCAAATTGTGAAAGCTGCAAATTTGGGTAACACTTTAATTATTGGAGATTTTAATTACCCGGATATAAATTGGGACAGAGGGACAAGTGCCTCAGCAAAGGGAATTTGGGTTTTAAACTTGTTAAATGACACCTTCATGTCACAACTTGTACAAGCACCAACTAGAATGGATGCTTGTCTGGACCTGGTTTTAAACAAACAACGTTGATCTTTTGACCAACATTCAAGTAGGTGAGCACTTGGGAAATAGTGATCACAATATAGTGTCCTTTGAAATAAACTCAAAAAAGCAAAAGCACATGGGGAATACTAAAACATATAATTTTAAAAAGGCCAATTTCAATAAGTTAAGGGAAGCTTTACAATATATTGACTGGCATAAACTCTTTAGTGAAAAGAACACTGAGGATAAATGGATTATCTTCCAACAAATATTAAAAAGGTACATTTCTCAGTATGTACCGTTGGGAAATAAATATAAAAGAAACAAATTAAAACGAATGTGGCTTAGTAGAGAAGTAAAACAAGAGATTACAACTAAGAAAGGGGCATTTAAAGCATTTAAATCTGACAAATCAGATGCATCTTATAAAAGATATAAGGATGCAAATAATGCGTGCAAAAAGGCAATTAGACTTGCTAAACTTCAGAATGAAATAATGATAGCTGAAGAGAGCAAAACCAGCCCCAAAGCATTTTTTAAGTACATAAATTCTAAAAAAAAAACAAAATGAAAGTGTAGGTACACTAAAAACTGAAACGGGGGTGTTAGTTAATGAAGACCAGGAAAAGGCAGGAATTTTAAATAACTATTTCTCTTCCGTATATATTAAGGAAGAACCCATGGCAATAGATGTGCAAATGATTGCTACTAAAAACATGCATAATAATTGTAATTGGTTAACTCAAGAGAAGGTGCTGCAGCAACTAAAGAAAGTTAATATAAACAAAGCTCCAGGGACTGACGGTATCCATCCACGTGTACTTAAGGAACTAAGTGCAGAAATAAGTGAGCCTCTGTTTTTAATCTTTCAAGATTCTTTTCTTTCAGGAAGTGTTCCGGAGGATTGGAGGAAGGCAGATGTGGTTCCTATATTCAAAAAGGGTTCAAAATCCTTGTCTGGAAATTATAGACCTGTGAGCCTAAATTCTGTGGCTGGTAAAATATTTGAAAGGTTATTAAGGGATAATATTTAAGAATTCCTTGAGAAGAACATGGTTATCAGCAAAAATCAGCATGGTTTTATGAAGCACAGGTCATGTCAAACTAACTTGATTGCGTTCTACGAAGAAGTAAGTAGAAGTATAGATCAGGGTGTTGCCGTGGATGTGATCTATTTGGATTTTACCAAGGCATTTGATACAGTTCCACACAATAGATTAGTGTTCAAACTCAAGGAAATCGGTCTAGATGAAAATGCTTGTTCTTGGGTAGAACATTGGCTTAAAAACAGAGTACAAAGAGCTGTCATTAATGGTAAATTTTCAAGCTGGACAGAGGTTGCAAGTGGTGTCCCTCAGGAGTCTGTTCTGGGACCCCTTCTATTTAACATGTTTATAAATGATCTTGAAGACCGCATTGAAAGTCATGTTTCAGTGTTTGCAGATGACACCAAACTATGTAAAACAATACAATGTGAGCAAGATATTACTTTGCTGCAGAGGGATTTAGATAGACTGGGGGACTGGGCACTCAAATGGCAGATGAAATTTAATGTTGAAAAATGCAAAGTTATGCACTTCGGCGTAAAGAATACACAAGCAATGTATACCCTTAATGGAAGCGAATTAGGGATAACAACACATGAAAAGGATTTGGGAATTGTTATAGACAACAAACTATGCAACAATGTGCAATGTCAATCAGCAGTGGCCAAGGCCAGTAAGGTATTGTCATGCATGAAAAAGGGCATTCATTCTCGGGACAAGAATATAATTTTGCCTCTTTATAAATCACTGGTAAGACCCCATATTGAATATGCTGTGCAATTTTGGGCACCTGTTCTAAAAGGATATTATGGCACTAGAAAAAGTGCAGAGACGGGCTACAAAATTAATAAAAGGAATGGAACATATCAGCTATGAAGAAAGGTTAACAAATTTAAACCTATTTAGTTTAGAAAAACGTCGCCTGAGAGGGGATATGATAACATTATACAAATATATTCGGGGCCAATACAAACCATTGTGTGGAAATCTATTCACAAACCGGACTTTACATAGGGCACGAGGCCATGCGTTTAGACTGGAAGAAAGAACATTTCGTCTAAGGCAAAGGAAAGGTTTTATTACTGTAAGAACAATCAGGATGTGGAATTCTCTGCCTGAAAAAGTGGTTTTATCAGAGTCCATACAGATGTTCAAACGGCTACTAGATGCATACTTGCAAGAACAGAATATTCAAGGATATAATCTTTCAATGTAGGGTAATAACTGCTTGATCCAAGGATAAATCTGACTGCCATTCTGGGGTCAAGAAGGAATTTTTTTCCTAGCTTGTTGCAAAATTGTGCTTCAAACTGGGTTTTTTTTTTTGCCTTCTTTTGGATCAACAGCAAAAAACAAATGTGAGGTAGGCTGAACTTGATGGACGCAAGTCTCTTTTCAGCTATGTAACTATGCAGTTGAACGGCTTGACAGAATTTTGTAACTTGAAAAGCTATTCAGGCAGCCAGAACAGCAGGGAAAGTGCCACATTTGACTGTGCTGGCATGCAAAAATGGCTACAACACAGCCTGGTCTAATAATATCTCAATATCAGCCATTTTTGCAATGCCAATTCTGAGTTGACAAAATTATGTAACTGAATGTAAACAAAAATAGGAAGTAAGAGAACTTAATTTTATAATTAATGATTGCAAACTTTTTCCTTTTGCTATTTTGCATTATAAAAAATGTGGATCAGGAGTAATTTCGTAATAGTTCAAAATAGGGAATGTATCCAAAAATTAAAGGGAAAAGGTCAGTGGGTAATTGACCACACACTCACCCCTTCCACCCTGACATGAACAAAACTTCCCCACACATACAGTCTGTGCATACAGTCAAAAGCACTACAATTACAGTAAATTGAAAAAAGATAACAGAAGCAGGAGAAGTGTATCTTGTTTTTTTTTTTTTTTTATTATTATTTATTCACAACCTTATTTAAGGATACTTTTACCAATAACTTTGAAAGTAGTGGTGAGTGGTTAATTGAATCTCAGCTAGCAGATGAGTTTGAAGAGATAAACCAAGTTGGAGAAAATAGCCTTCCTCTGGTTTAATCACCCCATCAGTTGTGGATACATTTGTAAGTGTTGAGCATTCAGAATGTTCCCTGTAAGAAAACACAGTTAATCACTTTAGACAGTGATCAGTGGACATGGCAATGGTTGCTGGGCAACCACACACAGAACAGGCAATGATGGTGTGGCGAAACCGACCTCGCCACTGGGTATTGGAGAAGACTGATTGCCAGCCTCCTGCCCTGTGACTATGGCCCCATGTTGAAATGCTTGATTTTCCCCTGCAAAGACCCGAAAACCGGGTCATCCGGTACTTTACCTATGTGAGCAGTGTTACCCCAGATAGCTATGCCATGGAGCCCATTCGTATAACGAAAGACTATATGAAAGACTTTGGCTCCATGGCAATTGAACTGTATGTATGCAATCTGAGCGCCATTCATTAATAATTTGCGCTCATATCTAAGCTATCTGGGGATATGTTGCACGTTTGTATTTTATGCAATAAATGTAACCTTGTGTATTTTATTGTATTTTACTGTCTTTTTACTGCCATGTGCTTAATGGCGTTTTGCCTCTGTCCTTGGAGATAGTGATGTCCCGAACGGTTCGCCACGGACTCATCATTGAGTAAACTTTGACCCTGTACCTCACAGTCAGCAGACACATTCCAGCCAATCAGCAGCATACCCTCCCTCCCAGACCCTCCCACCTCCTGGATAGCATCCATTTTACATTCATTGTGAAGCTGCATTCTTAGTGAGCTGTCCAGGAGGTGGGAGGGTCTGGGAGGGAGGGTCTGCTGCTGATTGGCTGGAATGTGTCTGCTGACTGTGAGGTACAGGTCAAAGTTTACTCAATGATGAGTCCATGGCGAACCGTTCGGCGAACCGTTCGGGACATCACTACTTCCCAATTATCTCCAGGATAGAAGACTCTGTGGAACTGGTTTTGGGCAGAAAAACCATGCTTCATTTGGTCAAATAGGACTTTCCCTTAACTTTTTAACCCCTGAACCGATTGCCCTGATTTTTGAATATGTGTATATTTCAAGCATGCGGATTCTGAATATGTAATTTTTATGAAGATTGGACATATATTTTTAAAGTTAGCACATGTATAAAAACTGTATTTTTCCTGCTTGTAATAATTATGTTAACCCATTGTGTAACATAATTATATCACAGAGGGGAGGATTTTGTGTATAATTGCTGGGAGTGTTTTCTGTAATGTACGTGTGTTATTGGTTGTTCTGTAAAACCCTGTGGGCAGTACTAAGTTTGTGGATTGGGAATAAAAGAGGCTGTATGTGCCAGTACAGTCAGTTCCTGCCTAAACCTCAAAGTGAAGTGTTGTCTCGTTATTGGGGGAGGATTTATTGTATGCTGTTCCAGTTTGACTGCTAGGAGTGTAAACCCATTCGCATGGTTTTTCCTATTCGGCTGTATACAACATTCACATGCTTAAAAGTACTCATATGCTTCTCCGGTTCGGTGATTGTGGTGTCTGCCAGAGTGCTTGGAGTCCTCAGGAAACGCTAGGAGCATCCTTTAACGGAGGTACTCAGTCGCGGTGCCAGGTGATCCGTTACAGATGGAAAATGAATTATTTTACCTATGCAATGCTTAGTGAATATTCCCCTAAACATACGATCTATAAATATATACAGTAACTTATGGATGTATTGCATACTGGGACGTGGATTTAATAACATATATTATTCTGCAGCAACAGAAATCTGGGCAAGCTTCCCTTGATGGCTCTTTTGGTGAGAAATGGCAAGGCAATCAAGGTGAAGAATCAATAAAAAGGCCAACAGGTGTAATTAGTACATCTGGAGAAACCTTGCCTAACTCATCTGCAGTACCAGAGAAAAAGGGACTTGTCATAGATACAGGTAAATAAAGGGCTACAACGCCTTTGCCTTAGTCTTTCCACGTCTGCAGGGGTTAAAAGCAAGAATTCTATCCCCTGTCTGCTATCTTGCAAGCACACATACTCCCCTTTTTCTCTCACAAGATAACCCTGCATAGTTTCGAGAAGACGTGCTAGGCATACACAGTAGAATAACTGTAATACGTAATGTTATAGGAGAAATTATACTTTTTGCACTGCACGTCCATGATTAGTTGATTTTGTCTTCTGTTAGATACACCACTATGAAAACTGTGTTTGTGTCATATATATGCTGTACCCGCATTAAAAAAAAGCATTATTTTTCTGGAACTCCATAATGACTGGTGTACATGTATGTTCTCTGCAGTGAACATAAAAAAGATTAAGGAAAGCAGGATGTGTTACCAGCATAAGTCCATGGCAGCGTAAGGGTTACAGACCCTGTACAAGTCTTATAGCCTAACAGGCAACATATTCTTTTTCTCAACCCAGTAGCTCAGAGGTTCCTCAGTAGGAAGCAAATAAGGTTCAGGCAGGTAAGGCATGAGCTCTACTCTCCATTGAACTGCTTGATGCTTTACTTGCTTACACCAACAAGATTAAGTCTCTACTTCACTGCTCCAATCTGCTGTCTACTGAGATTGTCTCTAAAACAAGTTGTTGAGGAGCCAACTCGTAAAGAGGCCATACTAGATTTAGTGTTAACAAATGGAGACTTGGTATCAGATATTACTGTAGGTGAAAGTTTAGGATCCAGTGATCAGTCAGTGTGGTTTAATATAAGAACAGTGACTGAGTCACACCAAACAAAAACAAAAGTTTTAGACTTTAGAAAAACAGACTTTTCTAAAATTAGAATATGGGTAGAGGAGTCATTATCAGACTGGAGCAATTTAAATGGAGTCCAAGATAAATGTGATTATTTAACAGTTGCACTATTGAAGGCAACAGAAAATTGCATTAGGCTTGTCAGTAAAAGCAAAAAATTCAAGAAACCACTGTGGTACTCCACAGATGTGGCCAAAATAGTTAAAAACAAAAAGTTAGCATTTAGGAATTATAAAAAAAACCCAGAGTGAGGAAGACAAAATGATCTATAAGATTAGGGAGAAAGAGGCTAAGCAAGTTCTAAGAGCTTCCAAATCACACACAGAAGAGAAAATAGCACAGTCAGTAAAAAAGGGGGATAAAACATTTTTTAGATACATAAATGAGAAAAGAAAAGAAAAGAAAAGTAAAACAAGGATTAGTTAGATTAAAAACAAAAGAAGGAAGGTATGTAGAAGAGGATAAAGGTCTAGCTGACTGCATCAATGAATATTTTTATTCTATATTTACAGATGAAAATGAAGGAAAGGAACCTCAGTTGAGAAAAAGGATAAATTAGTCATTTATTACACGTGAGTTTACAGAGGAAGAGGTTCTATTTCAACTGTCAAAAGTAAAGACAAATAAGTCAATGGGACCTGATGGAATACACCCAAAGCTATTAAAAGAGCTTAGTGGTGTACAAGCAAAACCATTAACATATTTATTTAACCAATCCTTGTTAACAGGAGTAGTCCCAGAAGATTGGTAAAGAAAGGTAATAGGGAGGAGTTGGGCAACTATAGGCCAGTAAGCCTTACTTCAGTGGGGAAAGTGATGGTAACCATGTTAAAGGATAGGATTGATGAACATCTAAAAACACATGGATTTCAAGATCAGAGACAACATGGGTTTACTTCAGGGAGATCATGCCAAACTAATCTTATTGATTTTTTTGATTGGGTAACTAAAATTATAGATCAGGGTGGTGCAGTATACATTGCTTACCTAGATTTCAGTAAGGCTTTTGACACTGTTGCACATAGAAGGCTTATCAATGAACTGCAATCTTTAAGTTTGGATTCCAATATTGTTGAATGGGTAAGGCAGTGGCTGAGTGACAGGCAACAGAGGGTTGTAGTCAATGGAATATATTTGAAGCTTGGACTTGTCACCAGTGGGGTACCTCAGGGATCTGTACTTGGACCCATTCTCTTTAATATTTTTTATTAGTGATATTGCAGAAGGTCTTGATGGTAAGGTATGTCTTTTTGCTGATGATACTAAGATATGTAACAGGGTTGATGTTCCAGGAGGGATAAGTCAAATGACAAATGATTTAGGTAAACTAGAAAAATGGTCAGAATTGTGGCAACTGACATTTTAATGTGGATAAGTGCAAGATAATGCATCTTGGACGTAAAAACCCAAGGGCAGAGTACAGAATATTTGATAGAGTCCTAACCTCAACATCTGAGGAAAGGGATTTAGGGGTGATTATTTCTGATGACTTAAGGTAGGCAGACAATGTAATAGAGCAGCAGGAAATGCTAGCAGAATGCTTGGTTGTATAGGGAGAGGTATTAGCAGTAGAAGAGGGAAGTGCTCATGCCATTGTACAGAACACTGGTGAGACCTCACTTGGAGTATTGTACACAGTACTGGAGACCGTATCTTCAGAAGGATATTGATACCTTAGAGAGGGTTCAGAGAAGGGCTACTAAACTGGTTCATGGATAGCAGGATAAAACTTACCAGGAAAGGTTAAAGGATCTTAACATGTATAGCTTGGAGGAAAGACGAGACAGGGGGGATATGATAGAAACATTTAAATATATAAAGGGAATCAACACAGTAAAGGAGGAGACTATATTTAAAAGAAGAAAAACTACCACAACAAGAGGACATAGTCTTAAATTAGAGGGACAAAGGTTTAAAAATAATATCAGGAAGTATTACTTTACTGAGAGGGTAGTGGATGCATGGAATAGCCTTCCAGCTGAAGTGGTAGAGGTTAACACAGTAAAGGAGTTTAAGCATGCGTGGGATAGGCATAAGGCTATCCTAACTATAAAATAAGGCTAGGGACTAATGAAAGTATTTAGAAAATTGGGCAGACTAGATGGGCCGAATGGTCCTTATCTGCGTTCACATTCTATGTTTCTATGTTTCTGTGTCTTGGGGTTATGCTGTTGGAGTGGCTCTTGAGAATGGTAGCTATGGCAACATGGTAGGTTCAATACACACATCTTCCTCAACCAGCATGCTTCTCTTTCACTGCAAACTTTAACTGTGCAATAAATCTCTCCCTCCAGTATATCAGGCTGTTGAATTGGAGTGACACTTTCCCTTTAACCCTATGATCACAACAGGAAACAAGTATCAGTTTAGGGCAATTTGTTCTCTCACATGTGCATTGATAGATTGGTCAGTTTCTTGACCACTGCTGCTACTTGAGTCTGGAGTGTGTTGCTTAGAATTAATTTCCTTTTTTTCCAGGAAGCCTATACACTTGCACTTGGTTGACTAATGCAATGGGAACGGAAGTGGTGTTGTTAATAATAATCTCATTGGGAGAGCTACTTCTGGAACTGTTTGGGGATGATTCTCTAACTAAAGAATAGAGTGTGGCGTATACTCCACCTTAAAAATTATACATACATAAACCTTCAGGAAAATGCAGTAAACCTCAGGGAAAAAGAGAAGACAAATATAGTGCAATACAATATGATACAATACAAATGGTATAGGTAATCGCTATAAGAAAACCACTCCCATATAATAGAGCTTATTAGAGCTCTGCTGTGTAGCGCATGGACGGTACAATCCCCATCTAAGGATATATGGTGGTTGTAGTGTAGTTGGTCCTCCAGAATATAGAGGGTAGAAAGAACAAGAGAAACTACAATGGTGCAGTAAGTCACCACACTCTATTCTTTATCTATCACACAAGGCTTTGGGAATCCTTGCATTGTATACCGCAGCCTTTATTGTAATATAGTTAGCACTTATACCCTCTGTTTTCATGATTCTCTAACTGTTTCCATTAAATAAGGTCATTTTAATGCAGATAGAGATAAGCTTAGACAAAGCGGTGTGTGAACGCTCTTCTGACTCTCCTTTTCTAATTATTGGATCATAGTCAATTTTCTTGGGAAGACAAACAAATGTCTGAAGTGGGGGAGGGGGGGGAAGAGTGATATCATCATTATATTCCTAAACACCACCAAGATCAGACTTTGGGGACACCACTTTGGTACCGTACTTTACCTCTTCAGTAAATAATGGTTCTTATGTCAATTACAAAGTCTCTGCTGAGTTCTCTCATTGCTTCTTGGGAGGGGCTTTTAAAAACAGTGTGTAACACATGTAGAGGTTCACTGATCCAAAAGGTCCACTGGCTTCATCGATCCCTTGCTTTGAGCACCACAAGACACATAAGCTGTAGTGCTACAAGGAACTGCTGTGCTTGTGGTAGCAGCAGAACTTGTTGCAGTATGAAAATGTTGAGAAAAATCCAATTGCCTCCTGGGTTGTAAATCGGACTTAATGGACATGCTGCTAATTCCATTATCCTGAGTCTGCTACTAATAACAGTGGTGGTTGTGGCGGCGGTGGAGAAAGAGGTGTTCAGATGGTGTTGATTGTGGATTGAGGAACACAACCACTTCCCTTATCCTCTTTCAATTTCTTCGTAAGATTAGAATGCAACATCAAAGATGCTGTGTTTGCTTTTCTTATTAAAATAACTTAGGAAAGGTATATAAAAAATTGTATAGAGCAACATGACTTTATTTAGCAGACATAGGTGTTTGTGTTGCAAAAGGTGTTAATGTTTGTTGGATTTACTGCTGTAACATTATTGTGTTTGAGTTTATGAAAGATTGCTGAATTCTTGCACAGCACACACTGTACTGAACACAGTCAGACAAACTAAATAAAATAGAATTTTCTTTTTCTCCAAACAGTTAACAAAAATAACTTTTAATAAGTATATATTGACCCAGGCTATCTCCCACTGCAAAACAGGCAAACACGGGTAAATATACAGGATCACTGCTGAACTGTTTCATGTATAGCTGAAGTCAAAGTTTCTTTAAGAATCCTGTTTGGAAAACTAATTGTAGCATTTGTCCATCCTTGCTGGCTTGTATTTAGCACTGAGCAGTATCTGTGTGTTTGAATGTAAACCTGTTTTTGCATGGAGTATACAGGTGATACTCGAAAATTTAGTATATCGTGCAAAAGTTCATTTATTTCAGTAATGCAACGTAAAAGGGGAACTAATATATTAGATGAATTACATGCAAAGCAAGATAGTTCAAGCCGTGATTTGTCATAAGGGCGATGATTATGGCTTACAGCTCATGAAAACCCCAAATCCACAATCTCAGTAAATTAGAATATTACATGCAATCAATAAAATAAGGAGTGTACATAGAACAATATCTGACCTCTGAAAAGTATAAGCATGCATATGGATTCAGTACTTGGTTTGGGCCCCTTTTGCAGCAATTACTGCCTCAATGCGGTGAGGCATGGAAGCTATCAGCCTGTGACACTGCTGAGGTGTTATGGAAAACAAGGATCCTTCTCATGTCTCATCTTTCTCTTGGCAATGCCCCATAGATTCTCTATGGTGTTCAGGTCAGGCGAGTTTGCTGGCCAATCAAGCACAGTAATCCCATGGTTATTGAACCAGGCTTTGGTGCTTTTGGCAGTGTGGGCAGATGCCAAGTCCTGCTGGAAAATGAAGTCAGCATCCCCATAATGCTCGTCTGCGTAAGGAAGCATGAAGTGCTCCAAAATCTCCTGGTAGTGGAAGCACAGTGGACCAACACCAGCAGATGACATGGCTCCCCAAATCAACACAGACTGTGGAAACTTGACACTGGACTTCAAGCATCTTGGAGTGTGTGCCTCTCCATTCTTCCTCCAGACTTTTGGTACTTTGTTTCCAAATGAGATGCAAAAGTTGCTCTCATCAGAAAAGAGAACTTTGGACCACTGAGCAACAGATCAGGTCTGTTTTTCTTTAACTCAGGTAAGACGCTTCTGATGTTGTTTGTAGTTCAGGAGCGGGTTCTTCCACACTTTTCCCTTCCACATAACTTTCTATTAATGTGCTTTGATACAGCACTTTGGAACATCCAACTTCCTTCGCAATTACCTTTTGAGGCTTTCCCTCCTTATGGAGGGTGCCAATGATGGTTTTCTGCACAACTGTCAGGTCAGCAGTGTTCCCCATGATTGTGATTCCTACTAAATCAGACTGAGAGACCATTTAAAGGCACAGAAACCCTTTGCAGGTGTTATGGCTTACTTAGCTGATTAGAGTGGGACACTGTGAGTCTAGAATATTACACCTTTTCACAATATTCTAATTTACTGAGATTGTGGATTTGGTTTTTTTTATGAGCTGTAAGCCATAATCATTGCACTTATGACAAATCATGGCTTGAACTATCTTGCTTTGCATGTAATGAGTCTATCTCATATATTAGTTTCCCCTTTTACGTTGCATTAGTGAAATAAATTAACATATAACACGATGTTCACATTTTTCGAATATCGCCTGTACATTAGTGAATTTAGATGTGTGTTTGTATGTAGTGTTGGCATTTGAATATAGCTGTGCATTTGTGTGTAGTGTTGGTTTTTGAATGCACTATTAAAATGTTGGCGTATAAATACAGAGGTGTGCTTGTGTGTAGTGTTAACGTTTGATTGCAGGCATGTGTTTGTATTTAGTGTTGATTAGTTTATTGCAGGTGTGTATTTGTGTATAGTCTCGTGTTTAAACACATACACATATACTGATCCACATGCACATACAAATACACACTCGGACACACATGCATATACACAGACAGATACACACTGATATACATGCAGATACACAAAGAAACACACATGTAGATACACAAATACACTCACTGGCACACATACAGATACACAAATACAAACACTGACACACATACAGATACACAAAATTTACAAAATGTTAGCCACCCTCCAGTTTCAAACCTTTGGGTTGCAGGACAATGTCTTCTGCTAGCTGAGGCTGTTGGGAGTCAGAGGCTGGCTCTCACTGTACACCCCCCTCCTCTCTGCCTTCTCCTCGTCTCCCTCCCACATGGCTCAGACAGGCTTTCACTTCCTCCCAGCGCAGATCGCCTGTATGAAAGGGGCCTGTTTGCGTTGTTAAGAGCCATAGCGCATGACCAGGCCCTTGATGACATGTCCATTGGGTATCCCTAAATGCATGGGCTTCCCCATAGGCCCTCTCAGCCTTCAGGCCCCAGTGCAGGCACACCAGCTGCACAAGCAGTAGTTCTGCTACTGTATGTGAAACTATTAACTAAAGTGGCCTTTATATAGTATAGACGATGACCCTCCCTCTTGCTACAGGATCCATATTGTGTTGTTTAAAAGGCTTATATTTTTAATAAAGACTATTTGTATGCTGGGCCAAATGTAAAATTATTGGGTTGGACATTAATTATGTTAAAGGAGCACTATAGTGCCAGGAAAACTAGTTTTCCTGGCACTATAGGGTTATTCGGTCCCCCCTCACCCTCAGGCCCCCCTCCCACTGAGCTGAAGGGGTTAAAACCCCTTCAGCCACTTACCTTAATCCAGTGCTGGGCTCCCTCGGGGCTGGTGACCTCTCCTCCCCCTGCCAACGTCATCTCAGAATGCGCATGCAGAGCTGTGCAAGCATTCAAACTGCCCATAGGAATGCAATTTTTGCATTGAGGATCACGGAAGCACCTCTAGTGCCTGTCAGGGAGACAGCCACTAGAGGCTGGATTAACCCTGAATGTAAACATAGCAGTTTCTCTGAAACTGCTATGTTTACAGTTGCAGGGTTAAAACTAGGGGGACCTGGCACCCAGGCCACCTCATTGAGCTGAAGTGGTCTGGGTGCTTATAGTGGTCCTTTAAGTATATTATTGCATTTAGCTTTTTTACATTGATATTCATTTCTGCTGGAGTGACTCATCTTGATATTGATACTTGATATTCATAAGTGTATGAATGAAGTGGATTAGAGTTATATATATTTTTTTTTAATTGAAACAAGAATAGTTAAATTAGAACAGAAGTGATTCTCAAACCCATTTTTGCATAGCACAATTTACTTACCATAACGTGCAGTTTTGAAAAGCTCTTGATATATTCAATGTGCACAGTCTGCAAATGTATGTAGCTTGCTTAAATTTGTAAAAAAAAAAAAAAAAAAAAAGATTGACAAAAAGGGTTATTGACATACCACATAATAAGTGTATCAAATGTACTGTATAGAATGAGAAATAGATGGATGCAGATATAGATTTAAACCTATATAGAATAGATATAATATACAGACATACATATGTTTTGTTCTGGTTTTTTTTTTTTGCTCCCTTTCTTTTACCAGGGGCTTAAGTACGTGGCTTTGAGCACATATCAGTAATTTGTCTATACAAATGTTTCATGTAATTGTTAGGCTTATTGGTTATGTGAGCTAACTCTGTATCTGCAAATAAAAATGAAAGAAGAGAATAGAAAGTCACGAACTTGAAGAAGAGAGTATGAAGAATGATTTATCTCAATAAGGGAAATATGTAGCAATGTAATGTCATGTTATCACAAAAATTCAGAGATCTTTTATTCTTGATAATGATTTTTTTTATTTTTTTTTTATATTTGCAAACCAAATTCATAGGAATGATGTAATTTTTTTGAATTGGTTAAACAATTATATGGAAATGCTGTCATCTAATGATTTACAGGGTTTAGAATTTCCTCAATAAGTGCCTTTCCCAAAGTAGGGGAGTACATATTTTTTCCAATTTTTCCCTCTCTCTACAGGTCATTGCCAACATCACAATCAGGGAATAATGCTATGATTTAAGAAATAACAGGATCCAGATCAGAAAATGTATTAAAATTCTGTGTCTGCAAATGCATCCTGATGATGAAAATCGTACACTTCCCAATCTGCTGACCTATTGCTGATATTAAGCAACAGTATAGGTTGGGATATAGGTTATAAATTTATTTTATTAAGCTTTTCTTGACAGTACAGAAAATCTTGTGTATAACAGTATCATTGGTGTAAATTAAATAACATTGCAAGTCATAAAGACACGAAGACTGTCATAAAACAAAGTACTGTGCTTGTACTTCCAATTAGTAAAGATATTGTAATAAGATAGTCATATGACAATTCAATTTAAGGTGTCATATTAGATAGTTCCACAGTAGACAAATCTTTTAGAGGCACTGTACCAAAGAAGATTTTAAAGTCTGGCCTTTACAGTTAATGGAAATCAGGTCCGGATTGGCCCATGGGGATAGACAGGGAAGTGCAGCACATAACACTTATTTATTTGTTTCCAGCTCGGCATAGTCAGTTTGGCTTGTGTGTATTAGTGAGCTTGAGTGTGTCAGTGAGCTTGTATTTAGTGAGCTTGTGTATGGGTCAGAGAGCTTCTGTATGTGTTAGTGCGCTTGTTTGTGTTGGTGAGCTTGTAGTGAGTTTGTGTGTTGTTAAGCTTGTCTGTAATGAGCTTCTAATCAACCTTTCTGTAGTGAGCTTATGTATAAGACAGCTTCTGTGTGTGTCGGTTAGATTGTCTGTAGCAAGCTTGTGTGTTTCAGTGAGCTTGTCTGTAGTGATCTTGTGTGGGTCAGAGAGCTCCTGTGTGTGCCAGTGAGTTTGTCTCTAATGAGCTTATGTGAGTCAGAGCTTCTGTGTGTTCCAGTGAGATTCTTTGTGTCAATGAGCTTCTTTGTGGGTCAGTGAACTTCTGTGTGTAAGAGAACTTTTATGTGTCTGTGAGTTTGTGTGTGTCAGTGAACTTGTCTGTAGTAAGCCTGTGTTTCAGTAAGTTTGTCTGTAGTAAGCCTGTGTTTCAGTAAGTTTGTCTGCAGTGAGCTTGTCTCTAGTGAGCTTGTCTGTAGTGAGCTTGTGTGTGTCAATGAGCTTGACTTTAGTGAGTGTATTTATTATGGGCAATGATAAATGTTCTATTACTGTGTTTCCATTCATGTGCTATAACTTATAAAACCTATAGGGGGCATAGTGAGATATGTGACATTAAGAGCAAGAAGATGGCTGCTGCATATTTAATGAGACGTGCTTTAGGGAGGAATTGACCTATAGATGGCCTAGTGAGTAGGGATGTGCATGGACAAAAAATTTGGTTTGGTTCGGGACTTCGGCAGTTCCCTAACCCTAATCCTAACCCCTAACCCTATGCCTACCCCCAATCATAACCCCTAACCCTACCCTCAACTCCTAACCCATACCCTTACCTCCAATCCTAACCTGTACCCCTAACCCTAGGGGTAGGGTTAGGGATAGGGGTAGGGTTAGATTTCTGTCATAATTTCCGTAATTTTCCCTCCCTCTCTTGTTTTGCCACTTTTCAGAAATCTGAAGCACTTCAGCACTTCCGAAATTTGGCGCTTCGGCAATTCAGTTCGGCACTTCTGAAATTCGGTAATTCTGCAACTTGGACATTCCAAAGCGTCCTAATTGCTTAAATTTGTCTGAATTTACATTCGAAAAGAAACGAATTTCACATGTCTACTAGTGAGCACTGTGAAGTAGAGTGAATAAAGATGGCTGCCACATAGTCACTGAGCCATGTGCTTTAGGAAGGAAGTGAGAGTCTTTGATTCACTTCCTTTCACAAATGACCACATGTAGTATCCACCTCCTAGAGATGACCATTAGGTATTGTTAGTTCTATCTGGATACTAGATGGGAGGTGTTACCAGTAACTAGAGAGAGTTTTCATGACTGGGTCAGAAGAAGCCAAGTGTCTTTAGAGGTGCCCATGTACATCCATTTAACATGTGGCAAGGAACTCACCTCATTTATCTGTGTGTTATGCTGATTCAATTATTCGTTGTAAGCTGCTGAATATCCATGAATAGAGCTAAGTAGATTTCTTACCTGATTGTATTGTTAATAGCAGGGTGTGTTTTAAAGTATTTGTTTTTGTGCTTGATAATTGTATTCCCAGTAAAGTTTTGTTTATACTTTCACCAAAACATTGCCTCTTGTGTGTTCATTCAAGATATTCACTAATATTTATGTAGTTGACCAGTATACCTTTTATTATTTTATTTTTGGTATTATTCCATATTAATGAAATTCAGAACTTCATAAATATAAAGAAATGACTTAATTTACCATTTCAACTGGCGCTGTGAACAGGGTACTGCACAATCACTAAATATAGAATATTTTAATGAAATACTGTGTAATGTATGTGTATATAGGTTGTAGGAGATTATCCACTAGGTGGTGTTTAAATTATTTAGAGGATCTGTCCCTACACAAGGTATTCATGTAACAACTTCTGAATTGTGTATGTTTAATGTTTAGTGAATAAGCCTATAGCACAATCACGTTGCATAGTGAAAAGACACAGTTAACAAGCATTGTCTTTGATTGTTATATTTGCATTTTTGTGTTCCCCCTGAGAGTATAGATGCATACTCTTTTTAAAAAAAGTAATAGAGCAGAAGGGAAGGAACCATCTAAGTATGGGACAATTCCATTGTGGGCCAGTTTAGAAAGTTTGAAACCCATTGCTGAGAAGCTGATAAAATATGCAGCTCCTGTCTATCCTGATGCTGGTACTGAACCTGGTGCTCAAGAATTATGGTTAGACCTGGAAGTATACTGCAAAAAAGGTGCAGGAAGCTGCTGCCACCACAGGGTGGATAGATGTGCAGGCCCTTAGCCGTGAGGTGCAGAGAAATGAAGCACTCGAGAAAGAGTTGCAGGATGTAAGGGATTTGTTAGATATGACTAAAGAATGTATGCATAGTAATGTTTGCCAGGTGGCTGCCCTAGAAGAAAACTACTTTAGTGGTAAGCAAGATTAACCGCAGGAGGTCAAATAAATGAAAAAAGCCAGTGCCTGTAAGTAAGGTGCAAGCAATGGTTGCAAACTTTATATGGGATCCTGAAGCACCGCTGCACTCATCCTTTGATGAGTATGTATCCTTTTCTGATGATGATAATGACGTGGACAACCCGTTCTACCAGTACATAGCAGCGGAAAAGGAGACTGCAAGATAGTGTGCATGGATTAAGAAATAGTGATAAGTGAAGAGATAAATGACGTGGTAAAGAGTTACACACAAACATAGCTCTTGGAGCTGGCAAAGGTTTATAAGGAAGAAATTGGTGAAAATGTGGGAGAATGGTTATTGCACATGTGGGATGGAGGAGCTGACAGTTTGCAGTTGAATGCAAGGGAATCCTTATGTATGGGGCAATTGACACTGCATCCACCGCTCATGCAGGTAATATGGAAGGTGAGGGAGATTGGAGGAAATTTTTCATTATTTGATATGGTGCGGCATGCCATAATTGTGGCATTCCCATCTAGCAGTGACATTGAGCCCATTTTCCCCTGGTCAAAACTGAAGGATGCTATTTGCTCGCATTAGCATTTTGGGTTGTGTGGCAGGATTAAACAAGGGAAGGCCCAGACATGGAGGAATTCACAACCAACATGCGGTCTCGGTTTTTAAAAAGTGCACCACAGGACATAAAGTCATATTTATTTTCTTTGCTGGGTAGTTTAGGGAATAATGTAAAGGTAGATCAGCTCACCACTTATTTAGCTGAAATTGGGGAATTAGAGTTAGCATCTAACCCTAGGAAAGGTGTGTTTGCTGGTAACAGGATGAGGGAGGAGATGGTGGAACCAAAAGAGAGAGAGAAGCAGGGACAGTTTAGGAGTAAAATAAGGCTGAGAGTAATACATTTGCAATGTGGAATGATTTGATTGATGCTGGTGTACCTAGAGAACAAATTGATGGAATTTCAACACCTGCCATGTTTGAAAAATGGTTAGAACTTGAAAATAGGCCTAATAAAAAGGTACAGGTGCATTTGGCATGCTAGGCTCAAGCAGACAATACCGTGCCCTCTGCCACATTTGTCCCAAAGTCTCCTCCCCCTAGTTATTTAAAAAACACTCCTCTCATGCCCACAGACACACCTTCTCTGTCCATACCTCTGTTCCAAAATGGTGCTCCTTATGCTGTGCCCCTGCCCTCACCTCAAGCCAAAGATAAAACTTCCCCACATTCATACCCACAAATGTCCTCACTCTTTCCAACACAATATGGTGCTAGGACTTACTCTCATACTACACCCAATGAGAAACAAGCACTGCCAGAGAGTGATGGTAAAGTCAGATCCTTGTATCCTTTAAAAGATCTGATGAGGCAGGATTTGATGGATTGGGACAGTGCTGTAGTACAACGACAGAATGGTAGGCCTCCGGTGGTACATGTGTCCCCTTTAACCGCCGGGGTCTGACACCCTTATGTACCTTTGACTGTGTGGTGGGGGACAAGACCAGGACCGACAAAGATTTTAGCTTTAGTTGACACAGAAGCAGAAGTCACAGTACTTCATGGTAATCCATGAAGGATAGAAGGCGTGGATAGAAGGTTTAGGAGGTAAAATTACCAAAGCAGTACAAACTGTTGTGGCTATGTGAATTAATAAAGGACCAAGATTCATTGCTAAAGTTTTGATTTCAGAATTGCCAGACAATATATTGGGAAAAGATGTGTTACTAGGGCAGAGTATTGAGACACAGTGGGGGGTTTTCCCGTTTGGATTCCCTCATAAGTCATACCATCTCAGACCAGTAAAAGACATTGTGCAAGGGAATGCAAATTGGACACCTGTCATTGTTCCTCCTCCAAGCAACCCAGTAAGGCTGAACAATACCAGTTGCCCGGAGGTTATCAAGAAATTAGCGACATTATCACCAAGCTCTTACAGTCAGGTGTAATTTGTCCTGCTATCAGTCCATTCAATGCTCCAGTATTTCCTGTGAAGAAGATGGATGGCGAATGACGGTGGATTACCGGGGACTCAACAAGGTAGCACCACCACTGAGTGCTGCTGTCCTGATATTACCACCATTGTGGGAAACATTGCCAAACCGGCTGGGGAGTGGCATGCGGTAATGCAATCTTTTCAATTCCTATTGCATCTGAGTTGCAAGATAAATCTGCCTTCACTTGAGAAGGACGCCAATATACCTTCCAAGTTGTGCCCCAGGGATATATACAATCCCCTATGATTTGCCATGGACTAGTTGCATGAGATTTAAGCCACCTCACTCTACAGCTTCCAGTATTTCACTACATTGATGACATGATCTCTGGATCTAAAGAGGAAGTGAAAGAAGCATTACCTGTTCTAGTGAATTACATGACTGGACAGACAGGGACGTTTTTAGCGGCGAGGCATTTACCTTGGGCGGCATTTTGGCTGGTGGGCAGCTGGCGAGGGAGCCCTTTCCCCTGAGCTGTCTGCTCAGCTCCCTTGCGTGCCGCGGAGTGATGCTGGGAGCCGGAATATGACATCATATTCCAGCTCCCGGCATCACTCTGCGGCACACGAGGGAGCTGAGCAGACAGCTCAGGGGAAAGTGCTCCCTCACCAGTTGCCCGCCCGCCCAGTAGCCCCACTAAACCACAGGGAGAAAGAGAACCCCCCCAGCATTCCCAAAGGTAAGGAGGCTAGGGGTTAAGTAAAAAAAAAAAAAAAGTGAGTGTGTTAATGTGAGTGAGTGTGTCTGTTAGTGAGTGTGTGTGTGTGTGTCTGTTAGTGAGTGTGTCTTAGTGAGTGTGTGCGTATCTGTCAGTGAATGTGTGTGTGTGTGTGTGTGTGTGTGTATTTAGAAAGCAAGGCAGGGCAGGGGGGGAGGGTTGGGTGGGTGGGTGTGGCGTCTGAGTTTTGTCCTGCCTATGGCAGCACAAAACCAGGATACACCACTGTGGATGGGGATGACAAGATTTAAGATCCAACCCAAGAAGTTAAATTTCTAGGAATTATGAGGTCTGGGCCTGTTCGGAAGATACCTCAGCCTGTGCTGGATACAATCCAGAATTCTCCAGAACCTAAGACGTTAACAGAAGCCAATTGGGTTACTGGAGAGCATTTATACGTCATCTAGGATGGCTGCTATGCCCCATATACAATGTTTCAAGAAAGAAATCAGCATTTTTATGGGGAATTGATCAAACTACAGCATTCCAAGTAGCAAAGGAAGCAGTATTACAGCATCAGGGCTTGGGCCTGATTTGAATTGGAGCTCCGTTCATATTGGATGTGATGATTTACAACAATGTAGCATCATGGGGGCTATGGCAACCAAGCAAAGACAAAATCAAGCGGGCAGTACCAATTGGGTTTTGGTCCAAGCAATTGACTGGGGCTCAGCAAAGGTACACACCTTTGGAAAATAATCTTCTGGCAGTATACCTCGCACTACAGCATGTGGAGACAATGACTGAGAAAAACATAGTATCAGTGAAAACAGATTTACCAATAGCAGGATTGGTATGAGAGGAAGGATTACCTGCAAAGACAACAGTGGCACAAAGTCAGACATTATTGAAATGGAAGTGGTACCTGCAGGAAAGAGGAGGGATCCAAGCAGGTGAAGTTAAGGAACTGAATAGACTCTTTACTGGGTTAGTGACATGTGATACACTTTCCCATCCCAATGTACAAAAAGTTGCAATTTTTTAGCCCTCTCCCATCCAGACAGCTCCTTCGTTTGGAGAACTGAGTGAAGAACCAAAGAAAAACGCATGGTTCACAGATGGGTCTGCAATCATGACACGCAAAGGATGACATTGGACTGCAGTAGCTTACAATCCTCAGCAACAAATTGTGATTCAAGAGAAGGGAATAGGAGGATTTAGTCAATATGCTGAATTGACTGCCATAGTCATACTGATGGAGGAAACCACAGATCCAGAGCTCTACATCTATACAGATAGCAGGGCTGTGTACAAGGCTTGTGTTACATATATGCCTACCTAGAGAATCAACAGGTGGCAAATGCATGGAAAGACAGTATGGGGAGGATTAGATCTATGGGGAAATATATGTAAAACAGCTCAATCAAGATTGATGCACCTCGGACATGTTGATGCCCATGTGAAAAAGACAGTACCATAGAAGAGAACATGAATAAGATAGCTGATGAATTGACCCAAATAGGAGAAGCAAAAATAACACCAGATCCTATTGATCCAGTATTACTTAGGATGGCAGACTGGGCCCATGAGACCGAGGGTCATAGAGGAAAAGCATCTATGCTAGAGTGGGCATGAACCCGAGGACTACCAATAACTCTCCAGATGATTGTCCAAGCACAAGAAGTATGTGAGACCCGCAACAAGGTTAAGAAATGTCCCCTCACAAAGCAAACCCGTGGGCATTTAAATAGAGCAACAATAGCTGGACAGATCTGGCAGATGGACTACATTGGTCCCATGCCAAAAGGAAGAGGAGGGCTGATGTATTCTTGTACTGCTGTAGACACCTTTTCTGGAATACTGAAAGTATTACCCTGCAAGCATGCGAACCAAGCCTCAACATTTCAGATGCTACAGACTCTTGTGATTTCTTATGGACTGCCATCTGAGATTCAGACAGACAATTATATTATTTAATTATATTATCAAGGCTTTATCAAGTAGATAAAATCAGATAAAATAATCAACCTGGCATCTCTTGGTTTATATCGGGGACTAATGACATACAAATTGTTCGAATTTGGCACCAAAATGACGTTTGTTTGCGGGTCAATAACAATATTTTGGTAAAAAATATAAACAAGCATACACACATTTCTTTCATAAATAGCCTACTTGTGTCACGGGTGGCGGTCCGGTGCCCGGGACCCAGACACTGTCCAGGCGGCGGGGCGGGGCGTGGACCGGGACCCATTATGCCTGATGTTGAGAGTTGGAGTCACAGTGTGGAGATGGATTAGCAAGGTCTGGTGCAGGGCAACCGCACACCCCGTGGTGTAGAGCACCAACATTTGTGCAGCCACATACCAGAACCCTGAATCAGCTTATGCGGATCCCAGGAACTAGGAGCAGACAATTAAGCAGACCTCCCAGGAGATGAATAGGGAGGCTCTGCAGAAGGGATGTATCCAGTACTGAATCAAGACAGAACTAGGAGAGCAAGACACCATACAAGAAAACAAGACCAAACTAGGAGAACAAGGAAAGACTAGAGATAGGCACCATGCAAAAAAACCAAGATAAAACTAAGGGAGCAAGACTAGAAAAAGACATGATACATGAAAACAAGACAAAACTAGGAGAACCCAGAACCAGAGCAGGACAGAAAGCATAACGTAAAACATGTACACAAGACATGAAGAAAACAAGAACATAACATGGGCATGACTGAACAGGACTGTACAAGGACTGGGATTACAAGACAAAGTAAAACAAGACAAGAGATACTAGGTAAAACAAGAGGAAACATAGCTAAGCACTAATTATGAAAAGTATGGGGATTTAGTTACATTATATGATCATACATTGCACAAGCCTGCCAACAACGCCAATGTACCCCATATCTGGCAGGTCCTACACTGCCTAATGTACACTAAAACAACCACACTATACCACAATAGCACTTACCTGCAAGAAAGGGCAGAGAGATGAAATACTGCTGCAGGTCCAGGCTGAAACAAAAGGGTAAATGGAAATAAGCGGGTGTGGCAATATTAAACAAACATTTAAGTGAATCCAAAAGACTGGGAAATCCAGGGACAGAATATAAGAATGAACCCAGAAACCCAGCAATAACGAAAACCAGACATAGACTAGAAAACCAGAAAAACCAAGCAAGGATAGCAAAAACAGTACTGGATACCAGAAGCCAATGCAGGAAAGATCCGCAGCGAGGAACAAAATGTGACAACTTGGTACTCCTATGTAATTGACTGTTTATGTAAAAACGAGGCTTATTTTGAAAGTTACAACTTTTTTTAGTGCGTCACGTGACGTTCGGCACTATTTCTGCATCACGTGATGCACTGTGTACGCATGTGTGGGGCATAATCTTGTTTACGCATGCCTTAAGACGTATGGGAGGGGAGTGTGGATATCGCCGCACCCTCAATAACACGCAGTGATCGACGTAATTCGGATGAATGGCTATTTACTTCTGCTACAAGTGAGTGGACTTAAGAAGGAGAGAGAGATGTAATATCATCTCTCTGTTCTTACGGGTGTAGCTTGTAGCTGTAATGAAAAACACACATGAGGGCATATATATATATATATATATATATATATATATATATATCTGCATGACTAGTATAATAACTCTGCATGATGGTATATACACACATTGGTAATTGTTAAGGATAAAACCATAAAACTAGTTTGAAAAAGATAGACCCTAACTGAATAAAAAAATTTACTTAGGTAAGTATTTATGGAAAGGGGCACTAATAATAAAGCTGCAAATTGCTAAAAGATAAATAGTGATATAAATATAAAAAAATAAATATAAAATATTAAAAATATGATAAAATAAAAAAATAGTTGTGGTGATAAGTGAAAACTGAAAATAAGAAAAATTAAAATAAGAAATAAGAATAAAAATATTTTATAAAGATAAAGTGAAATAAAATAAAACGAGAATATAGCAATAGGAATAGTTAAAAATTTGGATGAGTAAAGAAGTAAAAGTTAATAAAAATAAAATAGTATACTGAAAAGTAAAATTTGAAGACCAATATAAATCCAAAAATTGGACAAAAATAAATAAATAAGAAATAATAATAAAATGGATTGGAATAAAAATGCAAAATAGATATAAATAAAGGTGAAGATACAGAGGGAAATAGAGATATAGATGAAAATAAAAATAGAATGCAATGAAAAGTAAAAATTAGGTAGATGTAAAAATAAAAATAAATAAATCTAAAAATAGAGATATATGTGAATGTAAATAAAAGTAAAAAAATAAATAAAAATAGAAATACAAATAAATAGGGGGGCGGAGACTGACTGCCAAAGTGAACAGTCGCATGTCTCTGGAGCTCCGGACCGCAAGGCTGATAAATGCCCTATTTTCCGATACCCAGACCGGACCAACAGGGCCCGACAGCTCTCCCTGGAGCCTTAAGCCCAGATGGGGAAAAAAACCGAAAAAAGCGAGGCAAGAAGCGCCCCGAATGGGCATGAACATAGGAGAGATGTGGCGGCAGGCTCGTGGCGCTCAAGGGCCCGGGATGGCGGCCATTACTGGGGATTGCTCGTACCTCTCGGAAGACTGTGGAACCAATGAGGGATACACACGAGCTCCGGTGCTTCCCCCACCGCTGATCCCGATGACAAAGCCAGACTCAGCTCCGGTGACGGCTGCACTCCTGAAAGAGCTACTGGTAGATTTACAAAAGAACCTCCAGTCAGACATGGCCACGATCCGCCAGGACTTGATAGGAGCCCTGGAAACCACCTCACTCTCATCCAAAAAGCAGATCACCACCCTCCAGCAAGAGGTCCAAGACCTGCGAAAACTAAACGGCTCCTATGAAGGCCGCTTTGCTGCCCTTGAAGACTCCTGCCGGCAGAACAACATAAAGGTCAGGGGGATCCCTGACAACGTACCCGCCGCGGAGCTCCCGCATGTGGTGAGGAGCCTACTATCGGCCCTGCTCACTCCCAAAATGTCCAAAATGCTAGAGACGGAGGGCATATTCAGAGTGCCTAAACCTGCCCAGGCACCAACCTCGGCCACGAGGGACTTGATCATACAATTCGTTAGAGGAAGAGACAAAGCAGCCCTCCTAAATGCACTGCGCGGCAATTCACCTTACTCCTTTGAAGACATGTCCTTGACTTTTTATGCAAGATGGCGCCCTTCACGTGCCCTGTCAATTGCCCACGGGACTACAACCCACATCATCTGACACCTCCGGGAAGCCGCAACGACCCTGCAGCAACTGTGCATTCCCCAACACCTCCTCAACATCGATGCACCGGAGGCAGCACTGCGACCAACACACGGATGGAACCCAGAAACTTCAGCGGAATTTGTGCCCAGACAGGTCGCCCAGGGCTCACAGGACAGAGCCAAGACCTGACTTTATAAGAGACAGCCTATCACAGGCCCAGTTCAGGACTCATGCAATCTGGCTGCCCACTCCACACAAGGCACTTAAACCTGCATCCCCACTCACACGTAGAGCATATGACGCTCGTTAACCTCCCTCAGACTGGAAGAAGGTATTCGCCACTGTTCCCCACCCCCTTTTCTCTGGCCCAGGGGTTAAATGGGCTAGAAAAGAGCATACCACCCACCTGAGTTTGCCAGTCTGGGACACACTAACACTCGCTGTCCCCATTCCTCTTAATAGAGACACTAAATTCCGCAATACGACCAAGTCAAAGAGGACACCTGACTTATACCACAATGGGTCTTTTTTGTTTTTGTTTATCAAGATCAGGTATCCCAACACAAAACAACTTGATAACATGACCTCTGATGCACCTGTTGCAAGAGATTTTAGGGAAAAGAGACATAATGTGTCACAACTACGGTATCAAGTACTTGATAGGGTCCCTCCACTTACGAGAGGAGGTAATAGGGAAAAGATGCTCCTCCAAAAAGAGGTGCACTGGATGCACCTCCTGGACACAGTGTCCCCTCATGGTCTCAATGAGAAGCTTGAGTGGTATTGGTTCCTGTAGATGCATCCAGCTTGTGCCCGCTTCGGGAGGTCTCCTGGATCTGGGTATGTATACATATATTTTCTTATATTACCTTGTATTTGCATGATCCTTTTTTATTACGTCCCTAGTCTCTCTCTGAAGATAGTTCCATTTTCACCTGGCACACTGTATACTCTCCTCCACTTTTTTGGGGGTGCTAGATTTAAAGAGGTTTTACCTACCTTTTTTTTTATTTGGTTTCACCTGTCATTCTGACAGTTTCACATTTTTTTCTGTACTTTGACTTGTATTCTTCTTTAATGTGTGGCTGTCTGGCAATTTCCCAAGTCCCCATAAGCTTTTCTGGAGCTTTATGCTCCTTATTTACAATTTACTGCTTGCTCTTGTTCATTTTAATGAGTGTTTCATTTTTTCCTGCTAGTATTATAAGCTTGTGCTCTATTTGCATTACTATACAGACAGTTTCCCGTTTACTGCTCCGTTTCCTAGCAATGGCATGTGATGATGTCACACACAATGGGCGTGTCTGCTGACATCATCACACACAGACCAACTGAACCAGGAAGTGACTAGAGACTATGAACATGCTGGAAACATGGAGATTGTCAGTTTCAGCTGCTGTTAATTTGAATCATTGCTGGTGGGTGGCACTTCTTAAGCATTTCTTTCACTTGTATATATTGTCTGTACTGCTTGTATTGTTTAGGGCATTAGCACTGAGGAAGGGCTTGTTGCCCGAAACGTTTGTTTATATTGTGTCCTCTAATAAACTGCAGTAGCACCTCGGTGTGCACTACCTACTTGATGTGCAGAACTCCATTTTTTCTCTACCTGCTTGTTACACTGTTGGAACTACAGTAAGGATACCCTGCAGCTCGGATTTAACTGTTCATTACTGTGTTCTTTATCTTTGATAATCGGTGGGCATCACTCATGCCTCTGCCACATTCTATGCGTAGTGATCAATATTAATAACAACGGCATTGTGTTAACATGGGAATACAGTAAGACTTTCATTAACTTCCTTAACTTAAAAATTTTTATAAACGAAAATAAAATAAATACAAAAACATTTTTCAAAAAAGCTTGCAGCAATAATGTAATAGATATATCTAGTTGTCACCACAAGCCTTAGCTACATGGCATTCCAAAAAGCCAGTTTCTTCGTTTAAAAAGAAACTGTTCAAATCTGCAAGATTTTGATGACCAATCTGAAATACTTAAAGGACCACTCTAGGCACCCAGACCACTTCAGCTTAATGAAGTGGTCTGGGTGCCAGGTCCTTCTAGGGTTAACCCATTTTTTCATAATTATAGCAGTTTCAGAGAAACTGCATTCCAAAAAGCCAGTTTCTTCGTTTAAAAAGAAACTGTTCAAATCTGCAAGATTTTGATGACCCTGAGGGTGGGGGCACCCTCAGGGCACTATAGTGCCAGGAAAACGAGTATGTTTTCCTGGCACTATAGTGGTCCTTAAAAACAAATTCATTGAAAAGAAATACCATAAGAAAAATCTAGACGAGAACATAACAATTATCAAAAATACAAATAGATCTGAACTTCTAGAATATAAAAATAAAAACACTGACAATTCTATCTCATTGCCAGTTATCTTTGATTTTAATTAATTAAGAAAAATTAACAAGCATTGGCACATATTAAATTTAATTAATTAAGAAAAATTAACAAGCATTGGCACATATTAAAACAAGATGAAATTTTAAAAATCATAATTCCAGACAAACCTAATATTGTTTTTAGGGGGGCACCGAATTTTAAAGCTATACTCACAAAATATTTTACAAAAATATGTACTACCAAGCCCTCCCCCTCCTTTTTAACGCAACCTAAGAGCTTTTTTTAAATGCAATAAGCGTATAGTATGTAGAAGTACCAATTGTGATGTTAAATCAAAAACCTCACACTTCAAATCCACAATCACTAATAGATCCTATGAAATTAAAGATTTCATAAATTGTAACACTAAGAATGTAATATATCTATTAGAATGCCTATCTGGGCTACAATATGTGGGAATGACTATTCGCTGTTTAAAAATAAGGTTGGCAGAGCACTGCCGTAATATAATCAAAGGATACAAGAACCATTCAGTATCTAAACACTTTATTACACATGAGAAAACCCCCAAATTTTTAAAATGTGTTGGAATAAATGAGTGCAATATCCCATGGAGAGAAAATCTCTGGTATTACAAAGATGGAATGGGTTTTTAATTTAAAACACAGTATGGACTTAGACCTTTATAATTTTTAATAATATTCCCCCTTTTTCAGGTTACTCACTTTTTATTTTTCCTCCATCTTGTATCTATTTTTGTCTTTTATCATTCTCTATATTTATTCTCTGCTCATTATTCATTGTCTATTTCTTCTCTTTTATTTCTATTTCTATTTTTATTTTATTTTTTACTTTTATTTTTATTTACATTCACACGTATCTCTCTATTTTTATATATATTTTTTATTTTTACATCTACCTCATTTTTATTTTTCATTGCATTCTATTTTTATTTTCAACTATATCTCTATGTCCCTCTCTATCTTCACCTTTATTTATATCTATTTTGCATTTTTATTCATATCCATTTTATTATTTTTTCATATTATTATTTTTTCTTATTGATTTATTTTTGTACAATTTATGAATTTATATGGGTCTTCCAATTTTTACTTCTCAGTATTCTATTTTATTTTTATTTACTTTTACTTCTTTACTCATCCACATTTTTTATCTATTCCTATTTCTATTCTCATTTTATTTTATTTCACTTTATCTTTATAAAATATTTGTATTCTTATTTCTTATTTTAATTTTTCTTATTTTCAGTTTTCATACTTACCACCACAACAATTTTTTTATTTTATTATATTTTTCATTTTTCATTCTTATTATTTTTTTATACTTTATATTTATTTTTTATATATATATATCACTATTTATCTTTTAGCAATTAGCGGCTTTATTATTAGTGCCCCTTTCCATATATACTTACCTAAGTTCATTTTTTTCAGTTAGGGCCTATCTTTTTCTTTTTATGGTTTTATCCTTAACAATTACCAATGTGTGTATATACTGTCGTGCAAAGTCATTATACTAGTCATGCAGATATATATATATATATATATATATATATATATATATGCCCTCATGTTTGGTTTTCGTTACAGCTACAAGCTACATCCGTAAGAACAGAGAGATGATATTAAATCTCTCTCTTCTTCTGAAGTCCGCTCACTTGAAGCGGAAGTAAATAGCCATTCATCCGAATGACATCGATCACTGTTATTGAAGGCGGGGCGATATCCACACTCCCCTCCCATACGTCTTAAGGCATGTGTAGACAAGATTATGCCCCACACATGCGCACACAGTGCATCACATGATGCAGAAGTCACATCGCGTACCACCTGATGCGGAAATAGTGCCGAACGTCACGTGACGCACTAAAAAAACGATGTAACTTTCAAAATAAGCCTCGTTTTTACATATACAGTCAATTACATAGGATTACCAAGTAGGCTATTTATGAAAGAAATGTTTGTATGCTTATTTATATTTATTACCAAAATATTGTTATTGACCCGCCCACATGACGTCATTTTGGCGTCAAATTCAAACAATTTGTATGTCATTAGTCTCCTATATAAACCAAGAGATGCCAGGTTGATTATTTTATCTGATTTTATCTACTTGATAAAGCCTTGCAAGGCATAACAATTGTAGATATATTTTATAATTTCTGTACCAATAAAGAAATCTTTTAATATCCTCTATACTTGGAATCCTGATTTTACCATCTCAAGCAAGGACTAAAGAATCCTATGTGGGGAATATACTACCAGCGCCCTATTTATCAAGCAGTAAGCCTGCTCAAAGAAATGTGAGTACATTTCCTCTACTGAAAATCATTTTTAATATTGTTGGATATAGTAAGCACTATATTTGCTATTCTCTACTTTCTCGGTCCGGAATTGTTAACATTGGAAACATCTGGAGAAACTATCTACCACACATATCTTTGAAGTGGGGATCATTCCACTTCACGCTATACACACCAGAGCTGGATATAGCTTTGGTAAATGTGAGTAGAATAATACCCATACAGTACTGTGTACATACCTCACTATATACTGTACCATTGGAGTCTTTCTTCTTATGTCTTACATGTATCTCTGGAATTACAAGAACCCAACCGTCAAGAACATCTAATTTTATCCAGTTTGGCTGTTCCTTTTAAGACTTTTTTATTCTTTTTTTACTATCTTATTTGTATTTTATATGTTTTATTGTGTATTTTATCCTTGTTAATATTTTGGTATATTCCACTATATATGAGGCGCAACCTTACTCCTTTTAATTTCTTTCTCTACAGAGTGTGTGGAGCGCGCTGGGGGGTATGTGGTGCCCGTTCAAATCCCGGGCTTTCAGAAAAAAATATGTTGTATTGCCGCGATGTCGCACGCTAATTCTAAGATGGCCGCCATGCCAGCCAATATGTGCGCTGATCGTGGGCTCCTAAAAAAAATGGCCGCCGCGATCTCGTGCACATGCACAAGGTCTGTAATGACCGTCTGGATCTTGCGGTAGTGAGCAAGATCCAAGAAGGACGCCGTGCAATCGGGGGGCTGTTGGAGGCGTTCCCCACGGCCTCTAGAAAGCCCAGTAAAATCGGGGCAGCAATATGCCTGCCGCGAACCCGGGTGACAGGAGATAGAAGAGAAAGTTTAGTGCTAATGATGCAAAAGATAGGAGAAGGTAAATAACGGGAAGTAGTGAGGAAGTATACAGGGTAGGAAAAAAGCAATGAAATATATATACCACAGAGAAAAGAGGGAAGATGAAGGAAATATACCACTTGACTCCCCAAAATAACTAATTAACACATAGAGAATTATTGAATGACAAGAAATAGAAATCAAAATAGAGGAATAAACAACCACAGGAGACAATGGCACTCTGACCTGTACTGGTGCGGAACAGCAAAGAAAGAGGAAGTGACGTCTGAGGGAGGGAGTTTTGTAACCTGTTACTTTTTTTCTGATTGGTTTATCCTGTTACTATGTAAAATGTGTTGCTGTGGAGTTGAAGTAAAGAAAGACTTAAGCAAAATATGAAGCTTCCTGTCATGTTATAAAATTGGAGTGGCTATGGGGGCTGTTCTTCTCTTCAAATGCTGTAAGAGAGTGTCATGCGTCTGACAATCATGAAAGCTGTAATTTAGTATTAAATAAGATAGACGTTTTATAGGCTGATATGAATCTTTCAGGCTCTGTATTGAACTGTGAAATGAAAGACATAAAAACTTCTTAATCATGACCCATCCAGTCACTGCCAGATGGTGATTATTCAAGCAAGAATTCTACAGAAGTATGTTCGTTGCAAAGTATCATATTAAGGTTATTGAACCATTAATAGAATGAATCTGGAAAATTATCTAATAATTTTTTTGCTATTAATGATGGTTTGAAATTGTAATTGAAATATTAATGTATTAGGGTAAGATACACTCTATATACATACATTAATTGTCTAATATTAAAGATGATATATTTCAAATTTCTGCATGCTTCTTTTATCAATATTTTTTAGTTCTGAATTGACAAGTCATTTTACCCTTTATTTCATTCAAGCAATACGCAAGTCAAACCTAACAGTAAGTTTCTAAATGTTAGACTATGCCTGGCAGCTAAATGCTGCTTATACAACCCTTACTGGGATGTGATCACTGAACCAGGAGGCATGTCAGCAGAGAAACACAAAATTAGCATTTTGAAAGACACAGAATACATGCGCTGTCCCAGTTTTAAAGATAGATATTGGATAACGAAGCTTGCAAATCACTACTTTACAAGTCTCTTTAGCAAAATTAGAGTGTGCGTGTGTGTGTGTGTGTGTGCATATATATATATATATATATACATATATATATATATAGGAATTCAGGATAAAAAGGATAAAAATCAAAAATTGACACATAAAACAGTAAGACACATCACACTGCACAATAATCTTCACACAAATACACAGAACACCAAATACAGTAACCATATAGTGGATATAGTTTGACGTTAAAAGCAGCATGCCTCTTGTAAGGCTATGAATACATATCTAGTAATAGATGCAATAAATTATGACATGCAGTTTCTCCAAGCTAAGGTCCCAGTCATATTAAAATAAAGTCTGTATGAAAATATACTGAGCGGTAGTACACACTCTCCAGAAAAATTGCAAAAAGTAGCAAAAAGCCCAACCACTAACTAACACGTACATGGCTAATGTGCTATGAGTATATCCACTCTCTTGTTTTTGTTAGCACTGTGTTGTTTCACTTCCCAGACTGATCTCAATAGTCTCAGATGTTCTCCTATTGTTAGCCCTCCAATTTAACCAGAGACAGAAGTTATGTTGGCTGCAACGTCTGACACGTTTCATTACTTAATGCAATTTTCTCAAAAACAGCATTGGGTATCCCAGGATTACAATAAACACAGAAAGAATAAGATTTTTTAGAAGAAAAAAACAATTCTAAAGGTAAATATAAATAATTTGTTTAATTAGATTTATTGCCTGCTTCACTATTATTTTTTGTTATGTAGCCAAAGGATGTTTGATAAGGTAAAGCTAGTGACTTGTGGACCCCAAGCCACTCAAGGTATGGAACATCCACCCTCCTTTTATATGACAACATATGGAGTTCATAGTAAAGAGAAAGAGGGAATTGGGGGCACACTCGGAACATGAATTTCACATAAATGGTGCTGCCGTAGAGGCTAAAATGTATACATAATACAGATAAAGCACAGCGCACACATAAAAATAAAATTTTTCATTTTATAAGGACACTTAAAATCACCTATCTCAGGAATGGGTATTCACATGGCCACATGCCCACCACTACTTCACAGTACCCCAATATCAGTGGATTCAGGTAAGCAGGTGCCTTCTCTGCCTTGGTTAATAAGTGAAACTTTATGTGCGCCCCAACGTGACCAGCCGGGCAATCTTCTTTGCCTTCTGTGACATGCAATTTGCCTGCTTCTTGAGCCCCCCACCCCAACTTCTGGCACCTGGGTGTGGTGCACCCTATTTGGCCCTGATTCCTGCCTCTCCAGAGTCTTCAGTCCAGTACCTGTTGGTTCTACCCCTGAATTTCTATTGATATCCGCAGGTCTGGTATCAGCTGACAGTCTAAGAATTTCAATAGCTCCCTAGTCACAAAATACAGTGTGAAAAATATGTAAGTGTTTCACTCCATGTTGAGAATGATTATATACTGATGCTCTCAGCCTATCCATGGCATGCCTTCCTAATTGAAGCCTTGGACTACAATAGAAGCTCAGGGGCAGAGCTGCCTGGTGCCTGACTTACGATTTTGAGGTTAAACCTTCGTTAATGGTTTAACACCTGAAGGTAAGCCTGTGCAAGGACTTCCTGGCACCATAGCAATTTCCTTCTGATCTTCTCTTGTATTTTTGAATGACCATTAAGGAATACTGTGATTAGGTGATAAAAATTCCTTAATGGTCATTCAAAAATACAAAAGAAGATCAGAAGGAAATTGCTATGGTGCCAGGAAGTCCTTGGCATTGGCTTACTTTCAGGGGTTAATATATATATATATATATATATATATATTTTATTTTTATTTATTTTAATCTTTTTTGTAGTCCTGCCTTAATTTATCCATTTTCCAATATATTCACATTTTAAGGTTTTTTACTGAATTTTACTTAACTTTTGCAACTTAACAGAAGAAATATAGGTATTAAAGAGAGAGGAGTAGAGTAGAGTAAGTTGTAGAAGCTGGATCTGAAAATGAACAATGCAGGGTAGTTGAGAATAGTCAGCATAACATAGGCACAAGAGAGAGTAAAGAGAGCAAAGGCACCATACAATCACATACAAAAATATTTCTGCATAATATATCTAGCAAAGGATAGCCGTTTTAAAGAAGCAAATATGTCATGCATATATACATTCTAATACATAGTAGATGTAAAGCTGAATGCTATGTTATTATTATTATTAGCATTTATGTAGTGCCATCTTATTCTAAAGAGCTTTAAATATTATAAAGAGGATAGTTAACAATAAATGAGATAATTACAAAATATTACAGGAACAATAGGTTTGAGGATCCTGCTCAAAAGAGCTTTAAATCTAGAGGAGGTGGGGTATACAATAGCCCCGATGTATCACCAAGCAGGTTCTTCAGGGAAAGAAGAAACGTGCGTTGGGGCTAGATTAGGAGGTTATCTCTTCAGCACCATAAATTGCTGACGTGTTTGGGAATCCCGGAAACAAACAAGATATATAGTTTTATCCGTAATGGGTTATGACTTGGCATTCATGCATAGCTGAAGTAACACTGAGCCATATTCTTAACTCTAGCTAGAGCTGCTAGCAGAATAGTTATTTAGTTTTGAATGATGTTAGGTGCCCTTGAAGGCGCAGTGGAATACATTGACACTATATATGCAGCTTTTCCTGCTGGTTAATTATTAAGTTATAATTCTGCTCTATATATTTATTTATGTATTTATTTTCCTTGAGTTTTCATACAGTGTTGGTACGGTATGTTATACAGACAACCAATAAATATCAGAGGCTCTTCAAGTAGTGTTATAATATATGCAGGATGTAATGCTTCCTACTGTGTGGTTTTTGAGGATGAACATGGGAAAAGTAAAACTTAAAATATTTAGAAAAAAAGGCTATAGCAGACAGTGCAATACCAGAAGATGCCCACTATTTTTCAATATATCACTAGTAGTGAAACCAAATAAACAATAACCACTATATACCAAATGTGCAAAATATATCACACAAATAGAAAAATCTCTTAAAAAGTGTTCCCTCAAAACACAAACAACTTTGATATTAATATAACAGATTTCACCTGAATGAGATGATATCATAGGAGAGAGAACTGATTGGATACAAGGCGGCATAAGTGACCATTGAGATCTCCCATGGGGTTTTAAATAGGAAGCTGGACAGATGGATGATTACACCGATTGAGAAAGCTGATTTTAGGCTAAACATGTCTCTTTATTTTAATATATATTAAAGTGTTTGCTTTTTATATAAGATTAAATAAATGGTAACATTTTAGAATCCCAATGTGGATTGCATCTGCTATATTGGTCCAGTGTTTTAAAGAAGGGTTTGTGTCCCCTTTCTAGACACCAGAGTCCATACACTTCAAGCCAAGTGCCATAGTCTCTAAAAGAGGTGAGCAGTTTACAATACTTTTTACTTTTGCATTATATTGAACTAGCATACTGCATTAGGGTTTTTTTCTCCATTTTTCTTTTCACAAAGTTTGGCAAGATACAGTTGAAGAGGGGCAATGTCACCAAAGTACACTTAGGTCTATGAGATCAGAGCTTGTCCTTGTTAGGTTCTGTTAAATGTGAGTGAATTCAATTAAAGCACTATTTTCACAAAAATATTGGCAATATTGCACTATACAGGTGATACTCAAAAAATTAGAATATCGTGCAAAAGTTAATTTATTTTAGTAATGCAACGTAAAAGAGGAAACTAATATATGAGATAGACGCATTACATGCAAAGCAAGATAGTTCAAGCCGTGATTTGTCATAAGTGCGATGATTATGGTTTACGGCTCCTGAAAACCCCAAATCCACAATCTCAGTAAATTAGAATATTACATGCAATCAATAAAACAAGGAGTGTACATAGAACAATATCGGACCTCTGAAAAATATAAGCATACATATGGACTCAGTATTTGGTTTGGGCCCCTTTTGCAGCAATTATTGCCTCAATGCGGCGTGGCATGGAAGCTATCAGCCTGATCGGCAGCAGGGGTACTCCCTGGGATGTCAGGTAAGTCCCCCCATCACGATCGCTGGCGTAGGATCGTAGGAGCAGGTAAGTGGGAGGGACGTGCTATGCCAGCTGCCAGCGTTTAGAGCCAGCTCCCCAAGGATGGCATAGAATGCCTGCCGTCCTTAAGGGGTTAAGGGTTTTTTAAGTGTTTAAGCTTTTAAGTGGCTATTCCCTGTGCTACTACTTTTAATCTATTGGAAATAATAAATGAAATAGATTATTTCCAATCAGGTGTTGTGTGATTCCTTCTGGTTAGGAGTTCTTTTTATGATCCACTCCACACAAGGGGCTGATATTTCCTGGGCATTGCAGCCAATAAGGTTGTAATGGTTCCTGCCCCACAAATATGTGCACATTTAAATATAGAGCAATTATTGTTATATATATGTTACTGTGGGTCCCCGGGCTACTGCCTGCATGTATAGTGAAGAAGGATCCCAGGGTCCCTTGGCTGTCAGAGTGTTGATGGGGGTTGCCATGGCAATGCTCTGCATGGTAACCATGCTTGGCTCTCTCTCTTGAGAGAGGGAGAGTGAGAGAGAGAGAAAGAAAGAAAGAAAGAAAGAAAGAAAGAAAGAGAGAAGAAGAAAAAGCTGTAATTGTGCTTTCTGGAGCCCTTCTTCACGATACAGCAGTCTGAAGTATGTGCATGCCACTGGATGGCTAGGGAGAGTGAATAAAATTAAAATATTTTTTTCCCCACAGAAGGCAGCCCCTATTGTACCCATATTTAAACACACACACTGCATCAACTACACACTGTATCGACTATACACATTGCATCAACCACACACACACTGCATCTACTACACACACTGCATCCATTACACAAACACATACACTGCCTTCACTACACAAACACTCACTGCATCAACTATATACTCCTTCCATCCACTACATACACACACTGCATCAGGGGTGGGCTGGGCCGGGGGGCAGGGAGGCAATTTCCCCCCAGGCTGCCCTAAATCGTTTGCAAAATGGCCGCTGGGTGCCTGGAGAAGGGAGGTGCTGCGTGGAGCAGGCCGATGGCCTGTTACAGGGAGCCCAGCAGGTGGCCAGCTGGCCACCTAGGGCGCCCCGGTAGCAAGGCAGATTAGGCACCTGCTTGTCCCAGACAGCAGGTGCCTACTCTGCAGGAATATACCGGCCGTGTGAGGAAGGAGGCAGGCAGCGGCGAGGGAGCACTGCCTCTGCTGACGATCTTCCTGCTCCCTCGCGTGCCCTCTCTGGTGATGCCCGGAGCCGGAATATGACGTCATTCTAAACTGCGCGAGGGAGCAGAGAGGAGCAGGAAGTCACTGGACCACGGGGAAAGGACCCAGAGGACTCCTAAAGGTAGGAGGAATTTGTGTGTGTGTGTGTGTCTGGAAGTGTGAGTGTGTGTGTCTGGAAGTGAGTGTGTGTGTGTGTCTGGAAGTGTGTGTGTGTTTGGAAGTGTGAGTGTGTGTGTCTGGAAGTGAGTGTGTGTCTGGAAGTGAGTGTGTGTGTGTGTGTCTGGAAGTGAGTGTGTGTGTGTGTGTGTGTGTCTGGAAGTGTGAATGTCTGGAAGTGAGTGTTTGTGTCTGGAAGTGAGTGTGTGTCTGGAAGTGAGTGTGTGTGTGTCTGGAAGTGTGTGAGTGTGTGTGTGTCTGTAAGTGAGTGTGTGTGTGTCTGGATGTGTGAGTGTGTCTGGAAGTGAGTTAGTGTTTGTGTGTGTGTGTCTGGAAGTGAGTGTGTGTGTGTTTGTGTGTGTGTCTGGAAGTGAGTGTGCGTGTGTGTCTTGAAGTGAGTGAGTGTGTGTGTCTGGAAGTGTGAGTGTGTGTCTGAAAGTAAGTGTGTCTGTCAGTAAGTGTATGTGTTTGTCTGTCGGTGTGTGCCTGTCTGTCAGTGTTTGTGTGTGTGTGTGTGTCTGCCTGTCAGTGAGTGTTTGTCTCTCAGGGTTTGTGTGTGTGTTATTGAGAGTGAGTGCCAGTGTGTCTGTCAGCAGGGCCAGCCTTTGAGGTGTGCAAGCTGAGTGTGTGAGTCTGAAAGTGTGAGTGTGTGTGTCTGGAAGTGAGTGTGTGTGTCTGAAAGTAAGTGTGTGTGTCAGTAAGTGTGTGCGTGTCTGTCGGTGAGTGTGTGTCTGTCTGTCAGTGTTTGTGAGTGTGTATGTGTCTGCCTGTCAGTGAGTGTTTGTCTGTCAGGGTTTGTGTGTGTGAGTGTGTTATTGAGAGTGAGTGCCAGTGTGTCTGTCAGCAGGGTCAGCCTTTGAGGTGTGCAAGATATGGGGTTACGTAGGGTGCCATGACAACAGAGGCGCTCGGTGGCCAACACAACTCACAAGTTTGGGACACCAGCACATTAAAGGGACACTCCAGGCACCCAGACCACTTCTGCCCATTGGAGTGGTCTGGGTGCCAACTCCCACTACCATTAACCCTGCAACTGTAAATATTGCAGTTTTCCTAAACTGCAATAATTACATTGCAGGGTTAACTCCTCCTCTAGTGGCTGTCTACTAGACAGCCACTAGAGGGCACTTCCTGGTTTATAGCACAGGTTTTATGTGCTATAGCATCACTGGACATCCTCACGCTATGTGAGGACTCTCCAGCCTCGCTAAAATCCCCATAGGAAAGCAATGCTTTCCTATGGAGAGGTCTCCCCAGACGGCTGCCACGCATGCGCAATCGGTCTCCCCCGCCGGATGACATCACCGGGGAGGAGTGTTGGCGCACCGTAAACCACCACAGAGGGACATCGGCGCTGGTCTCAGGTATGTCACTGAAGGGTTTCTAGCCCCTTCAGCAACATGGGATGGGGGGTGGAAGTGAGAGGGGAGCTGCAGTGCCAGGAAAATGATTTGTTTCCTGGCACTGGAGTGTCCCTTAAATTTAAATGATTCCCTAGTGGTCCACTAGTGCACACCAGCAGTAGGTGCCTTACATCAGATCCTCTCCCTCGTGGTTCCGGTGCTCAGTTAGTGAGTCAGTGCACAGGCTCAGAGATTCTCAGCCTGCGCTCTAGCAACATTGAAAGTCGGAGCAGCAAAGGAGTGGGTATGGCAAAGAGCTACTGATTAGCATAACATCAATATCCGTTATAAAACCAGGAAAAGGTGGGCATGGATGGTGAGCTGATTCGGGGGTGCAATGGGCCACTTGACTGGATTTGCCCCCCAGGCCTGAGGCTGCCAGCCCTCCCCTGCAGTACATCTATTATACACACACTGCACAGTGTGTATATGTAGTGGATGCCACATATACTAAACACACACTGCATCCACTACATACACATTCTTTGCATCCACTATACGCACACACTGCATCCATCCACTACACATACATTATTTTCATCATCTCTACACACACACACTGCATCCTTGTGAGCGGACCTAGGGTTGGTCCTGTGGGCAGAATTGGAGACAGGCCCCGCGGGACCAGACTTTCTGTTAATGGCCCCAAAATTTCAGTTGGCAGCCCTAGTTATGAGTGGCACTATATCAACTCTAATTTTGTGAGTAACACTCCATTGTTATGTTTTACTATTGCAACTATACAGTTTGTACTATGTTTTTCAATTATGTATTTGTAGATGTTGACTTTCTTTTATAGTAAATCTGCTGAACTGCATTATAACTATTAAAGCACTTTTACTGTGAGATTAATCAGAAGGATTATGGGTATATTATGTTCATTTTTTCGAGAAGTATTGAATGCTAGAATTCTTTATGGTTGCTTCATTTTAAACAGTCGGGCACTTTAATTATTGCACTTGCACTTGACAGTGTCACATTTGTAATTTACTTTTTTTTAAATATGCGCCTTTGCTGTTCACCTGATGTAGATAGTTTATTCTGCGATATTTTAAATGCACACTTCAGGAATACAGGAAGTATTTGTGAGTGTGAGTATGTATTTGTGTTTGTACATATGTGTCAGTGTTTGAGGATCTCTGTGTGTGTCTGTGCATGTGTGTCCATATGTGACATCTGTGCATGTGTGTCTGTGTCTGCATCTGTGCACGTGTGTCAATGTTTGAAGAGTTGTGTGCATCTGTTCATATGTGTACACCTTTGTATGTGACAGTGAGTATATGTGTATATCATTTGGAGTCCATCTGTGTCTTTATCTGCATGTGGCAGTGTTTGCATGCTTCTGTAATTGCCAATCTGTGTATGTGTGTATATATATATATATATATATATATATATATATGTGTGTTGTGAATTTGTTCCTACATGCACATACCAACATTACACACAAGCAGACCACTGCATTCAAATACAAATAATACACATAAACATACCAGTGCATTCAAATTCCAACACTACACAAAAACCAACCCTACCCTTGGTATCAAACATCTACATTGTACATAAACACACTTCTGCATGCACACAAGAACAGTACACATGCCCATGCATTCAAACACTAACACCAGGCTCAAACATACCCCTGCATTCAAACATCAGCATTATACACATATATGCAAACATTCACACACACACATACGCCAGGCAAAAGCAGACATATTCACACACAGGCACTGAACCACAAATGCAACCTTATGTACAAATAGTACAATGGTGAACTTATAATTAAAAGGTGGAGCGCGTAGATAATACAGATAGTGAAATGATTTGCTTACCCTTATATTAGGGTGTAGCCCAAATAGGTAACAAATATGTAAAAGAAAATACACAAAAAAACAAAAATGCTGATTATATCGGCAAAATTTACATCAATAGATGATAACTAGATACACCCACATTGGCTGGAACATAAATTAATTGGCAAGTAATTGACTCTCTGTGCTCTTAAGGGCAGCAACACACCCCTCTTCCTGAAAAGTTGTACCTCCAAATAGAACACAAGGATAAAGGGGAACCAATAGTGTAGTATTTTAAAAACAAATCATTTTGATTTTTGAGCTCACATTAGTCAGAGCCTAAAGATCCTGGCACTAAGGTAAAATAGCTTAGTGCCAAAGTTGAAGGAATGGCACTTAACCCCCTCTTTGAATTCCTCAAACTCTGCAGGACACAAAGAAGTGATATATATTTGTACTAAGTTTTTTTGGTGTGGGCAAGAAGGCATTCCTACACATGTGTTTTAGAGCTGCTCTGATATATGTCATTAATAAGCGCTAGACAGTGAGCACACTTTCTCCTAATGGAGATTCACCACAATTTCATTACAAATACAACCCTGCAAGGATGGGCAAATGGTAGCTTTGCATGGCCCTCTCTACATCAGTTCTGCCACTGTCTGTACTAATGTAAAGTTAAGGTGTACTTCCATCACACATATGGGCTGCTTAATCAGAAGATTCTTATCAGTTGATAACCAAATTCCCACTTACCAGTCCTGATCACTTGTATGGTTCTGTTCTCTACTACACTTATACTTAAACCATTCTTGCTAATCCCTGATCCTGTCTGTTTTTTTTGTTGTTTTTTTTTTTTTTATAAATTGCAATGTGCACAGCATTTTGCCTCTCAACATTTCACTACTGTTGTGTGACTTGAGTTGTTTTCCATTAACTTTATTTCATTGTTTTTTCCAAAACCTCATCTCCATCAGACAACTTCGTTTACTACTGATTTTCCTTTTTTAATTTGGATTCGCCTGTTTACAGTAGCTCACAATGCCACAGTTATTGGTTGAAAACTCTATAATAATATCAGGTCCTCACTAGGATAAACTTAGCAATATAAAAATAACTAGGTTAAATCTACCTTAAAACAAATATGTCTAACTTATTTATAGATAGGTTACTTATTATAGATATCTTATTTATAGATTTGTTAATTATTATAGATAATGCTTCAGACTTGAGAAAGGGAGGAAAGCTTTTCATTAAAAAATTCTGTTGGTCCAATAAAAAAGGTATTACAAGATACAAATTGTATCTGTTTTTTACATCTACATCACTGGACTAATACGGCTACAATCTCTACTATTAATAGATATGTAAATTTTAACGACCTGTACTGCTCATTTGGTACATAGTTTTTCAGGCATTGTCAACTCAGTCTTTAGTCTCTGTAATCTGTTTTATGTAGTCTGCCTCTTCAGTGGATGTGCTTACCTGTATGATATCTTTGTTACATTCTGAAGTTAAGCCGATGATAGTTACTGTGTTCTCTCCAAAGCTCACTCTTTGCCCTCCTCATTGTTGCTGTGTACTGTTATACAAACACACAAGTTCAGCTACCTCAGGCTCAAAACTGGTTTGTGCAAATACTAATTAACCTCTCAGTCTCTGGTAATCTAAACATTTCTGGATGCCATAATTGGATCTGGACTTTGTAAATTTCCTGCGCTATCTGTTCACAAATATTATCTCAAGTCAATGACTGCACATACTTAATTATGTTTTCTATAAGATTATCTGTGAAAAACATTCAGAAATATTGCCTAAATCAAAAAACATTCTAATATTGCATATTCCTGATTTATGATTGACTTGAGGCTGCTAAGTTTCCGGCATTACTTTGTTACACGTATTATGTACAACAATGTGTCGAAGAAACCTCTAAATCCTTTGTTATTTCTATTTTCTTCTTAAATACTTTTCTCAATTTCTTTCAGTGAGTAGTTTGACAGGGGTGTATTATTCTAATTATAGTATGTAATTTACCTACTATTCAAAGTTCTGCCCTTCTAGAAGTTATCACTGACTGCATAATCACTCACCCCTTTCTTTAGGGTTTGATGTGTTCTCTACTATCAATATTATATTGTGCGTTATGCTTATCAAAATACAAACACACCTCTATACAAGATAACATAAAATAACATTCAATAAAAGCCCACCAAATCACCAAGTATATACCCACTATACACTTCCAGAAAATTCCAGGGTTCACCTAACATCTATCTGCACTCAACAAAGGTATAGGTGGACACAGGGCTGGTGCAAGGATTTTTGGCTACCCAGGCAAAGATGCATTTTGCCATCCCATTACCCTCTCCCCCAAAAATGAGAGGAGCTCTACAGCCACTGCCTCCATTCGGATTTTTGCGCCCCCCTGCTCTGATGCCCTAAGGCGGCCGCTTGTGCCACCTTATGGACGCCTCAGCCCTGGGTGGACAAAAAAATTTACAATAATAAAATACAAAGTAGTTGTGTAATCACTCCGCAGCAAAGATCTTTTTAACAATAGATCTTTTTAACACAGATCTTTTTAACAATCAGTACAAAACAGCAAAAATGTGTGGATAATATTGTGTGCTTATTCCTTCAACATAGCCTTCCCATGCTGGAGTGTCAAAGGCAGTATCAATATAACACTTATCTTATAAATTCTTATAATCTTGCTCCAATCTCCTTTTAGTAATTGACATGTATAGATAAAAACATAAAATGATCATAGCATAATACCATTAATTAATGACACTTTGAGATACTTTTAAAAACTCTTACATCACTTACATTTCTGTTTTTCATACACACTAAAGCAATGATGTTTAAAGGGACACTATAGTCACCAGAACAACTACAGCTTATTGAATTTGTTCTGGTGAGTAGATTCAGGCTTTTATGCTGTAAACACTGTCTTTTCAGAGAAAAGGCAGTGTTTACATTACAGCCTAGTGATAACTTCATTGGCCACTCCTCAGATGGCTGTTAGAGATCCTTCCTGGGTCATGGCTGCCTAAATTGCATCCAAACATTCAGTGTCTCCACCCTCTGCAAGCAGACGCTGAACTTTCCTCATAGAGATTAATTGATTCAATTCATCTCTATGAGGAGATGCTGATTGGCCTGGGCTGTGTTTGAATTGTGCTGGCTCTGCCCCTGATCTGCCTATTTGTCAGTCTCAGCCAATCCTATGGGGAAGCATTGTGATTTGATCAGGCTAGCACTTCTGATGTCAGCAGGCAGTGAGCAGGTCTAAAGGAAACAGGCACAAAGCATGCAGCTGCGGACTTGAATACAAGTAAGATTTACTATATTTAGGGAGGCATGAGGGGACCAGGGTGGCTAGATGGTGGTTTTAACCCTATAGGGTCAGGAATACATGTTTGTGTTCCTGACCCTATAGTGCTCCTTTAAAGCTTTTCAGCTATCACAATTTAACTCCTTAAGGACACTTGACGGAAATATTCCATTATGATTCCTTTGTATTTCAGAAGTTGTGTCCCTAAGGGGTTAAATGTGCCTCATCCTGCCCATGGCTTCCTTCGATTTGCTCAAGACACTAGAGCTTCAAATCTCATTTCAGGGCTTCGGTTGCTGCGCATGTGCCATAACGTAGCATGTAGTGATGTAGCTGCTGATAGGTTTTGCAAGCCCATGGGGCTTTCATAAAGCTTATATCACCAACACCTCCTACTTGGCTTTTTGTGATATGCAAGTTCATAATAAAAAAAAACCACATACCATAATAATAAATATGCATTACAGAATCCCTTATGTATCTCTTCTTGAGACAAATGAAAATAAAACAAAATGGACATATATTACAAAAAACAACTCAAATAAAACAAGGCTAGACAATCAAAAGTGTTTTTTCTATTGTGGTCAATGCCAATCATGTAAGCAAACACATTGTAGCAAAAGTAAAACTATAAAAAGGTTTAAATAAAAAAATAATAAAAAAATGAAGTAAAACTATTTCTAACTTGTAGAATATGTAATACATTTGTTGGATGTGAATGCAGCCTTCAGTATGTGGGACACACAATAAGAAAGCTACACTTAAAAGAGGATGAGCACATTAGGGATATTACAATGTGCAACCCCATCATTAGGTTTAAAATATTAAGAATCTGTATAAGTTGGAGGGGAGTTAATAACTTTTTAAAATTGTCCAAATTGAGATCAATAAAGATTAATATATATATATATATATATATATATATATATATATATATATATATATATATGTTTTTTTGTTTTTTTTTACATACAATAATAGAAAAGAGCAGAGAACAGGGGTATATGTATGTAGGTGAAAGCTATTTAAGAATTAGATGTATTTATGTATTAGTTCATGTAAGTATTAGTGGTATTCTATAAAAACAATTTAGTCGATAAGCCCCTTACAATAAAAACCTTATGATAATCCCCTTACGATTTTTTACCTGTGGAGATAAAAATAATTGTATTCATTATTTTATTTATTTATTAAAGAATAGTCTTAGGTATGAATCTTCGGTAATACCCATTAAATTGTAGGGATATGGGAAATCCTCAGGGTATTTGCAAGTCTTATTTTTTTAACTGGATAATAGTAAGAATCTCTTAAGGAATAAAATGTATTTTACATTTTGAAATTAAATTGTAAATATGTAGAATACATATATTTTGGTTTAGGAGATAAGCACCTTATTTTTGTTTTTTTTAATTTTGTTTCTTTATTATATAATAAAGATGCATCTTAGTTAAATTCAGATTTCAAATAATATGGACCAAATGTAGTGGCTGAAGACAAAGTTAGAGAGATTGTATTTGTAGATAGGGGAATCCTGATACCTGGTGGAACAGTGGAGATTGGCTGCCCTGGTGGTTCAGTCTATCTGCTCTCACAAGCTAAGTATTTCAGGTGGTTAGCCACAGCAACACTGTTAACACCATTGCTCATGGGAGCAATATTGGTCTGGGCAGAATTAAATATGCTCTGTGGCCTCATTACAAATTGAGTAAAATGGATCGAGTAAAATCGATGGGCCCCAAACCAGGCAGCATGACCGGGCATCTTGCAGGCTCTCTCTCTGGCCTGAGCACTTTGACATTGCCTGAGTGCCAGAATGGTCAGTCCATCACCTGGTAAGGAGTAAGGTGGAGAGATGCAATATAGGATAGTATTGTTGTTCTAGGGAAGCAATTAGATAACGAATCACATTATAGAATTTAGTCCGAAGTGTAGTGGTATTTTGCCACCAAATGATATTCAAATATGTGGTGTATGTTAAAGTCTAGGTAAAATGTAGGTTACTGAGAGTTTTCCAGGGCCACCGTTGCCTTCGATTTTCAATAAAATTTTATTTGTCCTATATGATTAGAAAATGCAGCAAAAAAAAGGGAAAACGTGTTTATTTAACTATGTCACTATGTAACTTAATTTAGTTTTGTATGCAAATTAATTACAGATGTAACAACCAATTGGTTGGTTTGTTTGGAAAGGAAGTCAGTTGCATTGAAATGGTAACTCCTTCCCCCCTTTACAAGAGAATACCACCGATGACAATCTCCAAGGCATGGACCTTGAGGTAGAAGGCCTTTACTGTTTTTCACTGGATTAGATTAAGAGCTTGGACAAAAAGGTCAGTTGGTCAAAGGCTTCCTGAGCAGAAGGTGTCCAGATGAACTGATGTTTCTTGGTGAGTGCTATGATTAAAGCACACAATTGTGAAAAACCATGAGAATACCAGAAATCGTTGTATGGCTTTCTTATCTTTAGGAGTAGGCCACTCGAGAATAGTGTTGTTTTTATGAGGGTCCATTTGGATCCGACCATGAGTTATGATGTAGCCAAAAATTCCACAGATAACACCACAAAAGCGCACTTTTTGAGCTTTGCATATAAACCATGTTCACGGAGTCATGGGAGTACTCTATTTACATCACTAGTGGGCATTTCAGGATTCCAGGTGGGCGGTAGGGATTTCCTTATTTTGAGAGATTGGGCGGGCGGGTGCGAGCCAGCACTACCCATGTTACCAGGTACCCGCCATCACCATTTGCGGCCCCAGCCCAAGTGGCAAACCGCCGGGGCCGCCGTCCAAGGAGTTCATCGGGTGGCCCATGCTGTCAGGGCCACCTGATGGTTATGGATTGTAAGGGGACCCGTCAGCGCTGGGCGCTTTAACAGCGCGACCGGGCCCCCTGTGATTACATCTCACAGAGCTGGGAGGAAGTGACTGCACATCACTCCTCCCAGCTAACACACAGACTGTGCGGGAGGAAGCAGAGGGAGTCAGAGTGGGAACTTTGTATGTATGTCTTGTGTGTGTGTCTGTCTGTATATATGTGTTTATGTATGTGTGTCTTGTCTTTGTATGTATGTGTTGTGTGTGTATTTGTCTTTGTATGTATGTGTGTCTTATGTATGTGTCTTTGTATGTATGTGTGTCTTGTGTCTGTCTGTATGTATGTGTGTATGAGTCTTTGTATGTATGTCTTATGTGTGTGTCTTTGTATGTGTGTGTCTGTATGT